TCCCTCCCTTCCTCCCTCCCTCTCTCCCTCCCCATTTCTCTTTCTTCCACTTCTTTTTCTTTCTCCTCTTCTTCCTCCTCCTTCTTTTCCCCTCCCCATTCTCTACTTATGTTTTCATTTTCTTTAACTTTATCTTAAAATTATATGTTGTGCATAGCAATGCAACTTACATATTAAATAACTCTTCAATAAAACAATTTGATACAGTTTTAAACAGAAAAAAATAGGATTTTTTTTCAAGTGGTAAGTTCCTTCTCCCAATACAAATTAAAAAGATCCCATTTTATTTTCTTTTTTCATATTTTTGTTATCTCTCCTTGTTTCTGCTCTCACGCCTCCACTATGACCGATCTCTCTGCCCCTCCTCCTCACTTCTTCTCTCTCTCCCTCACCCCTTTAGCACATTAATTTTTCCATCACAGATTTGGATTTTCTTGTGCCCCTTCTGGTGTGCAGGCCAATTGGCTTCCCACAATCTCTTTCTTACATCTTACATGTGTACTATACTGTAGCATGTACCATGACATGTGCTACTGGTATGACTAAGAAAAGTAGACACGTGGTTACAGTGGTATAGGGCCTCCTGCTTTACCAGGCGACTCATATTGCCCTTCCGAAGAGCAGAATGTCTCAGTCACCTTGTGTCTCAAGTCACAGGAAATCTGCCTGTAGCCAGCTGTTTGTGTATCTGTTCATGTACTGAAAACATTTTAAGGTCAAGATCTCTGTCAGTTGCCTGGAGTGTCACTGCTTAGCACAGGCCCTAGCAAGAAGGAGGGCTTCACTCAATAGTTGCTGAGTAAATGAATGTTGTTCTTTGTATTCTGTTTTTCATCTGTGGAAAGGTGTAAGGGTGAAATGAAAGGTACTTTGTAAGAGAACCATCAAGCAAGCTGTAAAGGGCAGCATCCTTCTCAGGTGAATGGCTTTTTCTTTTGTGCTCGCCTTTACGCTCAGCTGGCATCACTCAGTTCATTTGTGTGATGAGCAGTTTGAAGGAAATGTGGCGACTGTGATTCTGCTGTGCCACCTCCATTTCTATACACCGGAAGCAGCCATTGGTCAAGTCCCAACTATGTACCCAGTTCTACATCCATCACAGCATAACCATTAGGTTGGTATAATAATGGAGACTTAGAAGGTTGTACTAACCTGCCCAAGGTAATAGACTATCAATGGGATAGACAGAGCAGGGTACAATTGAAGACAGTCTGAATGGAGAACACTCCCTCCACCTGCTATTCCTTACTTGTGTAATTAATTATTGTAGAATACTCCTTCCACCTAGTTTTTCTTCTGTAATTACGTGTTTGTACACAAAGTTTGCCTGTTAGTGATGGAAAGTGCTTTTTGGGGAATGAGTGCCTTTGTTAGAAGTAGGTCCACTAAGTCAACTTATAAAACAAGAAGCCCTGGAATTTAAGTGATGATATTGTCTATAAGTGGGCCAATTAAATTGCATATGTGTCTATTCTGCTATGGAATAGAATTAGAGGGCTGAGTGATTAGAAAAGAGCAGCTATGAGACACCTGGGAGGATGAGATTGCATCGAGAGAACCTTTTATTATCAGAATATGTTGCTAGTAGGAGAAACACTGCTGCTGATACAATGCCATCAGGAATTTTTCTCCACACACTCAACATTCTAATTGTGCTCTAAGCATCATCCTATGACCCTCCAATCAGAGAAGGTGAATGTGATCTTCATATATGGATGCAGACAGATCCATCAATCCACTTTGGTATTGGCCCAACAGAAAATGAAAATGTAGTCCATAAAAATACTAGCACACAAACATTCATAGTAGCTTTATTGTCAAGAGGAAAAACTGAGAGCAGCCAGTTGGCCAAACTGACATGTTCATACTGCTACAATGCAGCAAGAAAGAAGCAATGTGTGACTTGGGCATGTGCAACACTATGGATATTTCATAGTTATTATGCTAACTGAAAAAAAACACACCCTCGCACACCAAACCACGTACCATGTCATTCCATTGACTAGAAGAAAACTGGTATTGTTGGAAAAAAAATCAGAGCAGTTGTTACTTTTGGGTTGTATGACTAATCCCTTCTGTACTTTTCATCAAATGTGTGTTTGTAAACCCATCTATGATTTCCGTTCATAAAAAGAATTTCAACACAGCACAGATAGTAAAGGTCATGTGTTTGGGGAATGCCACAAAGAATGTATCCTGAAAGGTGTGTTTTGGAAAGATTTAAGGGAAGGCGATGACAATGATGGTTAGCCTTCAGCCTGAGGCAAGGAACATGGTGGGAACAGGTACAGCATAAGCAAAAGCAAGGGCTCAACTCTGAGCCAATGTGAAATGAAGGGTTCAGAATGTGTTCTTAGATTACTGGGAGCTAGTGACGCCTTTGGAGGGAAAAAATCAGAACTGCATTGTACAAAGATTGCCTTTGTGTTATGAATGTATGTAAATGAGACAAGTGGAAGGAATGAAAGGAGCCCAAGGAAGCTGTGGCATCAGCCAGTTCTATTAACACTTGACACACCCTTGGTAGCCAATGTAAGCATAGGAAAATCAAGACACCACAGGAGCAAGGT